CACACACACACACACACACACACAAAATCCCCTCTCACCCCTATGGGTGGTATGCGTCTTCCTCAATCTCAGGTCCTCTACCACAGCCCTGGAAGTCTGAGGGTTCTGTGAAGTATCTTAGCTGTTCCTAGCACTGCACTCTTCTGGACAGATTGCTCTGATGTTGTTCCTGGGATCCGCTGGAGTCACAGCCCTGAGTGCTTCTACCACCACTGGGACCATTTTGGCCTCTACTTTCCACTTCCTCTCTGGTTCCTCCTTCAGGCCCTGGTACTTCTCCAGCTTCTCATCCTTCTTCCTGATGTTCTGTCACTTGGCACCACTACATCTATCACCACTACTGTCCTTGTCTACTACCACAATGTCTGGTTGATTGGCCAGTACCTGCCTGTCTGTCTGGATCTGGAAGTCCCACAAGATCTTAGCCCTGTTACTCTCTACAACTTTTTGTGGAATCTCCCATATGGATTTGGGAGGGTCTAGATGTTCCTGTACACAATGCCAGCTATTTGGTTGCATCATTTGGTGTATGCTGTTCCTGCCTGCATCTTACAACCTGCCACTATGTGTTGGACTGTCTCTGAGGCCTCTCTGCACAGTCTGCACCTTGGGTCCTGTTTAGTGTGTTAGACCCCTGATTCTAAGGAACTGGTGCTTAGTGCCTATTCTTGTGCTGCTATGATCAGTGCCTCAGTGCTGTCTTTTAGTCCAGCCCTTTCCAGCCACTGGTAGGATTTCCCAATACCAGCCACCTCAGCTATCTGTCGATAGTACATCCCATGCAGGGTCTTGTCTTGCCATGGACTTCCTCTGCTTGAAACAGCTGGATAGCGTAGTGGTTAGAACACCACCCTTTGATGTGGGAGACCGGGATTCAAATCCTGGTTGGTACCTACCTTACCAGGAGGGGTCCTTAGGCAAAGACTCCCTAATGCTTCACCTGCCTACCTTGAATATGAGAGTGACACAAACCAAGAGAGTCATGCTTGCTCAGACATTGCCCAGATTAACAAGGTCCACACCACATTTTGGGGAACCAGGACAAACCGACAATAAATGGACAATACATTTATAACAAACAATACATGGACGAGACAAGAGAACCTGGAATTGATGGAATGCGCCTACAACAGTAGACCTAATGAGAGGGGATATATGAAACATATGAGGGAACTATGGATGGAAGAAGACCTACATCCACACTGAGAAACAGCTAGTTACCAAATGCTTCAACATTGTGCATGTGTGTATTGTGTCTGTGTGTGTAAATGAGTGTGTATGTATATAAAGTGTGTGTGTGTGTATATAAAATGTAATAGAAAATTTTAATGTCAGCTCTGAGAGCTGCTGTCAGAAGTGGCATGATTTGAACATGCTTCTGCACCTTCCTTCAAGACTGTTTCCAGAGAGCAGCATGGGGGACTTATGCTTAGTCCCATGTCATATAAACTGCAGAATGACACAGAATTCCATGTCTCATGATTATCAATATCTACATAAAGTCACTTGTGGAACATGCACAGGGGAGCAAGGGACAGTAGTATACCAATGTTATTCAGCCTCTTTTTCCATGCCATCTGTAGCGGATGAGACAGTTTAGATACCTGAACAGTATATATGGGAATTGACTAAAAGAGCCCAATAAAATACATGTGAACAAGATGAGATGTTATTGCTGGGGTGTTCAAAGAAGTATGAAGACTGCTTACTGTGAGTGTTATGAGAATCAGTTCATTTGTCTTACTCTGAGCACACCTTTCCTCACCTGTAGCATATAGCTATGATAGTCTTTAATCCGATGTTGCCAGAACTTCTGCAGAGAGAGCACACTGCCAATGCCCACTTCATGGAAGACCTGTTCCATAACATCTGGGAAAGGGGTCTGCCCAAGCCGAGCTTCTCTGTCCACAGCACAACGCAGAAGTTTGGTGAACTTCAAGCAGTATTCATGAGCGATGTCTGTCAGAGTCTCCAGAACACTTTCATGGGCACATTCAAAGCCAGCGTGAGCCAAAATAGTAGCTACAGACTGGTAAAGAAGCTGACGGCAAGAGGTCCAACTCAGCTCTATTACTGGCTCTCCTTTGCCTCTAAAATCAGAGAATGTACAATAACAATGAATATGGAAGACAGAAGGCATGCTAACGTGTTTAGGAACAAACATTTAAAGTATGTCTAACATCCTAGCTAACTTGGCATACCTGGCTTGAAACAAAAAATATGCCTGCATCAAGTAACATGTTTGGTCTGACTTCAGTGTCAGCTTTTTTTGAAGTAAAAATATACAATAAAAAGAATGCTATTCCAAAAAAAATTCAGAGTTAACAGTAAATGTTTGCTTTAAAACATCGTATCTAACTTTTTAAACTTTAACTCAATGCAACATATTCATATTAATTATAACAAAATACAAATTATCTGTGCTGTGCTAAAGCTAAATATTGAATATTTGTACTATTTAATCCAAACTTTTCTAGAGCAAACTCCTTTTAGAAAATTGAAATCAAATATGCTAAACATTTGTAACACTACACTAAATCTATCCTAAACACAGATCAGCCTTAGGATCAGGCTTCAAATTAGGCTGAGATTTGAAGCTGCAAAGTATACATATTTTAAAAAAAAATTCCTTGCAGGATTATTATCTGAAATAACTTGAACATTTTTTATTTTTTAAAAACAGGTTTACTGTCAAAAATACTAGATTAAGATTCTCTAAAATAGACATTCGTGAGACTAACTAGAGAACCTGATAATGAATCTCCATTCTACTAAAGACTAAATTCCTTTTGTTTTTACAAATAATATTCTGGAAAAAAATGTGCTTCTGTTTAAACATACCTACAGATTGAGCAAACAATAAGAAAAGCTTCAGTTCTGTGAACTATAAATATTTGATAAAATATTTGATAAACTAGTAACACAGAGTCAACTGATAAATCTAATTTTCCAGTTCAGTTCTCTGAAGATTGATTAACAAAACTGCAATATGGAATTATAATATGAAAATATAAAGGTGTAACATAAATCCATCCAGCTCAACATAGTGTATATCTGTCCTCCCCAACTTAGTGCCCCCTATATATATTGGACAGATCTCCCTTCACTCTTGGCTGGTATCCTCCAGCACATCTGAAAGGCATCAGATTCAAGCAAACTGGGGAAGTATCTCTAGGATTTCAAATGTTTTTTTTTTCCCCCAGTCATACCAAGGCTGCACTTGAGGCCTTTTCTGTGCAATACATATGTTCTATCAGAGTTAGTATTTATCATACTGCAGACACCTCTGGATAATAAAATGTTGGCATCTCCCTATTCTTTTCTGGCTGAGAGAGAGGTTATATACTTCTGAACTATCACAAGTCTGTTAAGCTAGATAAACCAAACATGGCTTAGTGTTAGTGACATTTCAGACATTACAAAATGGGTCATTTTCTGTTTTGATCACTTAAAAACGATAGCCCTCTGTCCATTAAACATTCTCCGAGGAAGTGATAAGAAACTCTATCACATAGCAACTATCCAGTGGCCTATTTCCTGTTTAATCAGTGCATGAAGGCGAAGGAATTGGAGCTGATTTGATAGGTGCAGAAAAAGCTGAGGTCCATTCAAATAAAACTACAGGCTGAACCTATTGGCCTTTTCAAAGATAAATGATAGTTTGAAAACAGGTCCAGGAAAGCAAAGATGGATTTCTTACAACTGCTTCTATTTTATAAAATATTACACCGGCTAAGCTGTATTTCTGAGCCATTGAAGTGTAACCAAATTCCATCTCCTGATACAAAATTCCTTCCAGAAAAAACAACGAATGATACTAGTAATTTATAAACAAGATTGACTAGCATCCAGCATTCAAAAATAGAAAAGCTTGTTTTCTACCTTTTCTGATTTTGATCTAGCAGTACTCATTCCTTTCCTAATTACCTTTTCTTTTCTACTTTCTTTGCAACAGAAAGCTGCAGCAGGTGCTACCCTTAACAATTACAGTCAGTGAAAGGCTGGCATTTTCTCTAGTACCAGTACGGTATTCTGAGATTCTGGTAATCTGAGAATACACGTAAAGCTTGCTGTGCTGGTTTAAAAAAGTAAGAGGCAGCAGTTCAAGAGCAGACTGCTACTGAATGTGGGATAGAAGAACACAACACAAGGTGTGACTAATCTATTCCATGCCTAAGATCCCAGGACACTAAGTAGAAATGGAATTCTGGACTGAGATTTGAAATGGCGAGATGTCCCAAATTGCCACGGCTTAGTTCCTGACATTCCATGTTATTAAGGGTAGTTATTTCTGAACAACTGCAAAAGATTAAAGTTAATCATATAAAAAGGTAAAAAGAGTCTTTCCAGGTGATTACAATAAATGTACTATACCCATATAGCAATACTGCCTCCACACCTATAATGCACAAATGGTGCCATACAGTATTTTTGCAGGAGAACCCAGCAGGAGAGCATCTCATGGGGAAAAAATTAAGATAATGAAAATGGAGGTGGAAATGGTATTGAGCATACTGGATTGTAAACATCAGATTAGTGTAGCTCAATCCAAGCATGATGGTCACTAAGCCAAAATTCCCACAACGCACCTGTAAAAATCACTTTCTGGATCACTGTGCCTCAACTGGAATGGCATCTTGGGTATTTTACTATCCAAAGTAAGCAAGTCATCAGGGAGTGGTGGGGACCCAGGACAAGTTGGCAAAGGCTCACTTCCTTCCATCTTGATACCTTCCAGTTGCTGTTGGTTCTGAGTCTGAGCCGTGGCAATGAGGCTGCGCAACCTCCTGTTATGTTGGATCAGCTGGACAGTATGAATGGTGAGGCTACAGGGCTCTGAAGGAATATCAAGCATGGTTGTAGGCTTAGGCTTGTTAGCTGAAGGTTGATGCAATGGAGGATCCTGGACCTCTACAGTACGGAACTCCCGCTGAAGCAAATCAAAGGAGCTGCGGTTGGCCTGACTAGAGGAAACCGGGATCTCACCCCAGTAACGGAGCATCTTTTTTACTGGTTGATTGAATAGTACTAAAAATATTCAGGTAACAAAGTGACTGTCCTATGAAGAAGACTGATTCTGCAGTGTCCTTGTTGAAGATTAATTTTTTGATCTGGCAAATTGTGGGGAGCAGGGAATCCAAAAATGTACTAATGAGTTCTCATTGCAGTTGAAGGGTTCATTAAGTAATGCAGTCTATATGAATTAACTGAACAACATCTTCTTTAAGCAGTAACATTCTCAGTATCCCTAGAGGAAAAAAAGAAATTGGCAAGAAGTTATAGTTCCTGTCTCACAAAAGATCCATGAGTTTATATCAAAGCTAGAGACAAAACCGAGTAACTATTGCCTTTTATATTTTTGAAGGAAGTATAGCCATGGGGTTTTTTGTCTGAGTAATCTTTGATGCAAAAGTTAAAGAAACATCTCACTACTGTATTTAGCAGGAAAAAAAATGTTGATGTTGCTGTTAAAAAAAAGTTCAATATGACCTTCCTCCCCAAAAGAAGAGGGGGCGGTAAAATATAAACACAGAAAAATAAATTCTATATAATAACATGTTTCTCCACCTTGCCAATCCTAAAGTTGCCACTCCAACTAAAACCAATCCTGGAGATTACTTCCTATGTTCATCCTATAAATGTATGCATGTGACACACATGTCTGTACGTATACCTGCAAGAAGTCACTCTCTTATACAAATTATATTAATTGCTGATTAAAATTAACAGTCTATAAAATAAAGCACCTCCCTTATAAAATTAATTCATCCCTCACTGGATATACCAACCATTTTCTCTCACCCAGAGAAACCACTCTTATACAAAGAAACATGAAGGTAATGCACGCACACGCACACACACACAATCTCCTTCCTTCCAGCAGAAACAGCAACGAAGAAGGAAAAGAACAGATGGAGACTGGGCAAGATTAAAGGGCAACCCTATTTCAAGAAGAAAAAGTAACTATAGGTAGTCCTCGAGTTACAACTGCAGTTGGGACCGGGATTGCCATTTCTAAGCAATGTGGTCATAAAGCGCGATGTCACATGACCACATCACTTAGCAACAGCAATCCAGGCAGCCCCAGCTGTTGTCATAACCCAAGACACACAATTTGTTAAGCAGTAAGCAGAGGGAGTCCCAAGTAAGAAGCGCGGGGGGAGGGAGGCCCTGGGAGGCCCAGTGCAGGCCACGCGCAAGTCAGGGGAGGGGGTACTCGGTGCAGCGCAACCTCAGAAAGGCCAGGGAATGAGGGCAGAGGTATATGCGATTCCAGGGAGGCTGGGAAAAGAGGGTCCAGATTGTGTGCAATCGCAGGGAGAATGTGGAAAGAGGGTGCGCAGTATGTGTGTGCATGCGTGCAGTCTTCTCTGTGGCTATTATGTGACTGCCTGTAGTCTATCCATGGAGCTCCTTGCTGCAGAGTCATCTTCAACTTTTGTAGGAATGAAAGAATGACAATGAAGGAAAGTGAATCTAGCACACCAATCCTTACTTTCCCTCTTTTTATGCAAAGCCTTTGTATCCCTGAAGAGACTAGAGTAACTTCAAGAAGCCAAGCAGAAGCCTTTGCATGTCCTGAAGTGCTATTCTTAATTGCACTGTGCAGGATACAGTTTTCAGGAATACATTATATACTTCAGAATGAACAGAACAGAACATGTCTAGCTTTCTAGCTGAAGTTTATTCATGAAGTAAACACATTTTTTTTAAATCCTATCTAGCAAACTATATAAAGTTAAAACTTTGGTTAATGACAGCCAAGGGAATGCTGCCATATAACATAAATATAAATTGCAGCAGGTAGCAGAGGAAACTATTTTAATAACATGTTATACTATTGCCAAGAAAATTACATGGATATCTCCATGAAGCCACCAGCTAAATTGGAAGGAGAGGTAACCTTTTAATATACACCTACCCAAAAGATTTGCAAGTTTATTTTGAACTCATTCATATTTGTCATTTATATTAGATCAGCAAATACGCCCAGGTTACAGACAACCCACAGTTGAGAACAGAGCCTATTGTAGCAAAATGCAAGTTAAATACACAATGATTCGAGTTAAATACACAATGGTTCGAGTTAATTACACAATACAACTTATTGTGTAGTTCCGGCTTATATACTGTTCCGGCTTACATACAGATTCAATTTAAGGACAGACCTTGGGAATGGAACTTGTTCTTAAACCAGGGACTACCTGTAATATAAATCTATTTCTAGCAACAGTAGTTGTGCTCATGATATATAGACAAATAGCTATTCTGCTCATTTTTATTACATATGAGATCTGTAGCTCATTAAATGTGCCCAGACTCACATAAGTTGATGACAAAGCCAGAGTTTGAACTTAAGCTCCCTCATACAGGTTCCATGTTCTATAAATAGGGGGGGGAAAAAACTACTTAACAATGGTGGAAACATTTTGTTGTTGTTGTTCACATTTATCACTGGGTAATAAGCATGTGATTTTTTAAATCTTGATTAACTTCTCCACATATTGTAGATTAAAGCACTTCTTTTCCAGACCAGCTCTAGCTCTTAAGGTTGTCTGAGGTTCTACAGCAGCATTCCCTAATCTGGGATGTACAGGTCCCATAATTCCCAGGAAATATGGAGGATTTCAGATTGATCCAGAGGAGAAGATGCTCTCTTTCTTCACTTACACACTTACTACTTCCTTGCAAATACATGCACAAATGTGTCTAGTTTGTAAGCCTATTCTCCTGAAGAGCTTGGCAGGCTTAAGTTATTCTTCTGGAGTAGTTCTGGTTTTTCCTGTTGGGTCATATCCAGACAGTGGTGCCTAGACTGCACTGCACATTCAGGTACATCACTCAAGTGCTACAGCGATCCATCTCATAGTATCACCCTTAAAGAAGGTGATTAGATCACATCCTCATTGTCCCTAGTGAGTTCTTCTGTGATGAAAACTTTTCATCCTGACTAAAATCTTCAGCAGGTTGATAGTGTAGAGAACAAAGAGGATGGCCTTGATAGAGAAAGGGGAGATCCATTACCAAAGTAATGAAAAGGAAAACACTGCTTAAGTCCAAACAATGAAAGAGGAATGCAGAAACATCTCAGACATCTTCCTAATTCACATAGCATAAGAGAAGGAGGTGGGAAGCCATAATCAGACTTGCAAGATTCTGTTACTATAGCCAATCTTAATAAAAGTAGTTTTAGTCATAATATGGAGTTGTTTTCTTGGTCTGATTTTAGATCGAGTTGATCTGATCTTAGGGCTGACAGATAGGCTAAAAAGTGATTTGACTAAAATGCTATACACACTTTTCTGGGAGTAAAGCCTACTGGGACTGAATAGGCATGGTCAGATTTATAGTGAAGAACTAAGGTTTTATCCACAAACTTTCTCCAACCTGGTGTCCTCCGGTAGCCCATCGTCTCTGTAAACATGGATATTCGTTCGCATCAGATTGGAGAAAAGCTGGTGCACAGGACTTAATCCTGAGAAAAGAAGCTCGCACAGCTGTCTCACACCCGAATTCTCCCCATACTCCTTACGAGTAACCACCATGGTTTGTATTCACTGAATGAGGTTGCAATGGCTTTGAGGTTTCAACCCATATCCCTGACATTAACTTAACCGGAACAACAATGTGCCCTCCCGCGGCCTTACCGTCCAAAGACTGTCAGCACCGCGATGCTCAATAAAACGTCCAGCGGATTCAGGAAGTCCCCACCCTTAGGGATCCCTCAAGGCCAGCTTGGTGACACTTTTTTGGAGATACCAAATAGCACCCAGCGTTTAGCCCTGAGATCACGGCCGCGCCCTCTCTTCCTTCCCCTCACCCGTTTCCCTC